GCTAACAAATGTCGGTGTTGAGGAGGGTGATTATTGCCGCTTTGAAGCACAAATTGCACCGGTGAACGATCCCTACATGAAAGTTGAATGGTTCAAAGATGGGAAACCTGTCCTGATAGGTAAATCGCCCTGTTTTTTTACTAAAGTAGAACTGTTACTGTTTTATTTTGGATGAAATGCATGCGCTGTAACAGAGCTTTAGTGCAGCAGATGCAAATTTCTCGGATTCATTGTTAAATTCTTCGAAATCCTGTATCCACCAAGATCTTATTCGAAATTCTGTATTTCGGTTTTTCTGAAGTGGCTTCAGTTGCTGAGCGGCCATTGAATTCTGCCCTAATCTTTCGTTCTGTTTCACCATTTTTTTATCAGAAGGCACGTGTTTCAGGTCATCGATTCCGTTCAGTACTTGATTTCGGTTTTGCATGCCTGGATGTTCTGTATGCACTGCCGGATGATACGGGTGAATATACGTGTGTTGCCACAAATCCATACGGTAAAGCAACAACATCTGCGAAATTGGCTTGTTCGGGTTCCAAACATATTATCACCGAAAGTCAGCTTCCACAGGGTGTTTTGGTTTCTGATGTTAAGAAACTTGGCGATCAGCCATACTGGTAAACTCTTTCTCAGATACTTTTTGAATCTCCTATAAATCATCTTCGCGAATATTTCATTTTTCAGCTATCCGCATGGTTTTTGAAGAATTTTTATTAGGCAGGGCGACCGTTGTCTTAAGTCGCTTTGAAGTTTAATAAAATTCTTTTTTTACGTCGAATTTTGTTACTCTTTCAAGTTCGGAGATAAGAATGGAGATAAAACTGAAGGATTTGAATATGCGGTACAGTACCTACCCTCCCCAAGCCCTCCCTTTCCCTATTAGGTTTCATCTCATCATCATTGCCAACCTATATCTCTGTTACAAGGTACCAGGCTTCAATTCTTTCTTCGTGCCAGTCCACTTTGCTAACTCAACAGTTTTCAGGTCCGAGCAGACCATGGAGCAACCGCGTGTAAAGGAGGCTCCGAGGTTCACAATTCGGCCAATGAATATTCAGGCGGTAGAAAACGAACCTGCTCGATTCGCGTGTGCTGTAACTGGTAACCCGAAACCAAAAGTGATCTGGTATATCAACGGAAATCAGACTATACACGTATGTTTTTGTCATGTCAAGTTTTTTAAAATTTTTTCTAAAAGGTGTCATCCGGATGGAAGAAGGAAGACGCTCCTCTTGGCTGGACAAACTACGCATAATTCGGATTTGTTTCTGGCTAGTCATGCATGGTATGTTTGGATGGCCGGCTTGGGCAGTGCTGTGGATTGAGACTTGGAAAGGATCCTAGCTCCCTAAGCAGCATTCTGCGGCGAAATCGAATTCGCTTGGTTTTTTCTGCGATTGGCCGTTGATAATACAAGTTCCAGCACTTTGGCCTCCACATTGATGCACACCTGTTACTTTTTGCAACGTAAGGCTGCAAAAGGGATTAACCTTGCAAAATTAACATTTTTCGGGAGTTTTTTTTCGAGTAAAAAATGTGTTTTGATTAGCAGATTGCATTGGCGACATTTTTCAGGGTCACAGGTACAAACTGCATTACGATGGTATCCATTACTTGACTATTTCAAACACAAAGATATCCGACGCTGGCGAGGCAAGTCTCATTTACTTTCTAGAATTGCCCAGATTCCCATGATAAATGTTGATTTCTTTTTTTTTTTTCTCTCTGGAGCCGCGCTTTATTTTCAGGTGCTTGCTATTGCAAAGAATTCAGAAGGCGAAGTACTCGCATCTGCAATGCTTGACGTGTATCAGAAGAAAGATTTCCGACATGTAAAATTGAAGCCGACCTCTTTCAAGACGCTTGATGAACTTCATGAGAGAGAAATTGGATGGCAAAAGGTTGCATTACTGTCAAATATTTTTTTACACGCCCGAAATATTTGCGAAATCTAGGGCTGTCATTGTGATATTAATTTTTTTAAGGAAACGCTCGGTTCTCTGGGCGAGGCATTCGAGAAAGCACCAAAAGCGGATCAACAGAAGTTGATGCGAGTGGAACGGGCGAAGGCACCAATTGAGCCACTCGAAACTGAGGAGCTCATCGAGAAGTTTACAAGGCCAAAAGATGACCAGTTCTATGATCAGCTTACATATGTAAGAATTTGAATACTTATAAGCTTACGCAGTAATCGAAAAACATCACCGCGCATTATTTCTTTCTACCGTTTTTTTTTTTTTTCGACAGAGTGCCTGGAATGCTGCTCAGATTGCTACAGCTCAAGCTTTTAGTTCTTCTCTGTTACATTGAACGGACATTCCGGGAGCCCTTGAAGATCCTTGTAGTAGTTCATTGTTTTCATTGGGAATTGAGTGACTGATGCAGGTGGAAACAGCTCGTCCAACTTTCGAAGGTATGAAATTGGAAGAGGTGGCGCTGAAGCCAGGACACATCGAGAAATATGCAGCACCAAAAGAGGAAATGGAGCATGTGGAACTGAAAGCTGCTCCAAAGGTGGAGAAAGAAGCAATACCAACTGGTGCTCGTGTGCCAAAGCCACAGTGGGCAGTGGAAAAGAAACTTGGAGATGTGGAAACTCGGTTCGTTTTATGTAAATTTGAAGCTTATTGAATTTGAGGCGTTCTAGCGGCCTTCTGCAGATGAGGATTGTTTTTGTCTCATTGATCACCTTTTCAGTTTCCGCCGACTTCCTGAGCCAGAGAAAGAAGTCGTGATACCAGCACGTGATCAGGTGAAATTCAAATTGGCGAAGCCAAAACCTGCAGCTGAATTGCCACTGGCGCAGCATGTTGAAATTGAGAAAGAGAAGGCGAGGAGAGCTTCCATTAAGCAAGGGCCCGAAATAGAGAAGGAGGTTCGTTGGCTTTATTTGCGCGTGAGATCTGGAGCTCCACGAGCGAGTTCTAGCATTTTCAAAAATTTTATTTTCAGGTGGAGGTACCGGCAAAGGATCAAGTAAAAATAAAGCAGAAATTCCAGCCGAAAGTCGTAAAACCTGCCGAGGCACCGGTAATTGAGAGTGGTCCGTTGAAGGAAACACCTGCTGTTGTGAAAGGGTAAATTATTCCCCTGTCGTTTATTCTACCGAGCTTTTGCATATGATCTTGGAGCAGTGTGAGAATGGTACCCCTTTCCACCCTTGTTGTCTATCATCATATGCGAAATGTCTTCTAAAGTCCTGGAAATGTAGGATATCAGTACGTGTTTGAAAAGGGTTTTCTTATGTTTATTTTGTGATTTCAGGAAGATAACGGAACCAACGATTCCATCAAAGGTTGTTTATCTTTATAGCTTTTCCTAGCTGCGTGACATGAAACTCACTGTTTTATCTAACATAGAATAAATATTTAATAAAATTTTAGCTCCCGCAGATGCGGTACTATAGGTTATAACCAGAATAACAGTAATAATGCGCTGGGCCTTTCAGAGGCCGCCAGAAGATTTAATAGCTAATACCTTCAGCCTGGGCGGGGATTATTTAGTCTTTCTTCCTCTTCTTCTTCAAATACCAAAGTCTTCCATGCAGCAGAGGCTGCTATTGAGTGCGCGCAGTATAACAATATAAGTTTTTATTGTAACCTCAAATTTGGGTTATTAAACCATTTAAAGA